AGGTAGTTGAAGTTGGTATAGAAGAAGTTTCAACCGGAAGTGTTGGTATATCTGTGGGAACAGAGAGTGGAGCTTTCTGTTTTGGTGATTGAGTTGGAGTGGAAATTTTTGTGGGTTGAGGAGATGGAATGTGAGTATCTTTAGGAGATGGAGGTGGGGTTTGAGATCTTGGTGGTGTAGGCTCTCTGGTGAACACTGGAGGATTCTCAGTTTCTGCTGCTTGATCTTCAAGGATGTCAGGTTCAGGAGACAAATTTCTCTTAGGCCTTTTAGCCATCTTTTTAATCTTCTTCTGTTTTGTTTGAGAAGAAGCTTCCTCACCAGCCTTTCGCTTAGAAACTTTCTCCTTTTTCTCCTTTGCCTCTTCTTTCTCTGTTTTAACCACCCGTTTGCCTCTGGATGAAGGTTGTTCCAAAGCATCCAGTGCAGCTTGTTGCTCTGCAGACAAGACCCTTGGACCAACTGGAGACAATTTTCGGTAATCGTCCATCACCGTGCTTTGTGTTGTGACACACCTGTACATCGATTCAGGAATTGATCCATAATGAGGAAACTTACGTGGATCAGAGAGAATAATCTTCTTGGTGTGATATGTAGCGATAGAAGCAAGAAGTGCGTCTGTCATAACCGAAATCTCCAAAGTACCCATAGCTTTCCTTGTAATCACAGTCCAGAATCGACCACATGAGATTTCAGAATGACGGGTTGTGGTATTCAAACTCTGCACCACTTGGGACCAGATTATTGTACCATAATCCAGATTGATCCTGTTATATAGACCACAAAGCATGGTGAGAAAGCCTTTGCTAGTGGTATCAGAACCACCACTTCTTTCCGCTAAACCCTTGATGGGCAAGGTCAACAACCCATTCCACTGCGATGGTAAGCAAGACTTCTTGACATTCGCCACCGTTGTAAGAACGTTTGTGTACCCCATTTCGTACAGCATTGTGAAAATTTGGGTTATAGTGATGAAGTCTGGAGAGATGATGGAGGAATCAACTGCAAGACCTAAAAGGGAACAAAACTTCGTCTTTGAAATTGAGGATTGCTTATCGTGAATACTGAAGTAGATGTGATCCTTGTTCTTGTCATACGTCGCTGATGAGTACACTTGAGAAAGTAGCGACATCGGAACTGCTTCGACTAGGGTTAGGGCCATTACCAGTGGGGAATACTTCAGACACTCCACCACATGCAACATGTATGAGTCATATGCGAATGGACTCAGTTTGATTATCAGATTTTGGTTGGGTCGTATTGTAAGCAAGGAGGATGTAGCGGTTTGATCATGCGCGGAGGATGAGGTCGCCATTGTTGAACAAAGAAGAAGATGAACAGTTTAATCTTTGTGTGAGAGAGATAATCTATCACTTGGTAAATAACAAAGAAAATGGACACCCCTATTTATACGGTTGCCTGGAGAGAGAAAGCGTGATGATGAGGTTGCTAAAACGTCGCCTGAAAAAGCGTGATTTGACAGGGTGGTTAATCCCAGGAAAACGTAAGCACGCGTGGGTTGAAACGGATCAAATTCACGCGCCCAAATCTTATCTTCAAACCTTTTGAAATTCCCTGTTACCCCGTGTTTGGTTACAACGGATAACCAAAACTTATACCAATCAGTAATTAGAATGTTGGAAAATATTAATTTCCATGCTTAAGAGTGTGAAAGATAAAGAAATAAAACAAGTATGTATTGGGTGTGAGTGCTATCCTTTTAGAGAACAGAAAGCAGAGGATTCCGGGCAAGAATCACTTCCTTCAAAGTCAAGAGAGACTTGAAGTGCTTGTGCGGTTTCCCGAAAATACGATCAACTGTTTGTCAATAAACAATGAAAGGCTTCTTTTGATCATATGCATTGGGTGGCTTTCCTCCAACCAAACATCGAGTTTTAACATAAAACCGATCGTTGGTAGAGATACCTGTGAGACCGATGTGATCTATTGAACAGGTAGGTGGGATATATTATGTTTATGACTTATAGGAAGCAGAAATCTAAAAAATAAAAAATAAACTGGATCTCTTTGGGAAGAAATGTCTTAGTTGTAGATGATTTCGTAAAATATCACGCAAAATAAAAAAGATTTCCTTAGGTAACCAGCTAAAGCTTGAGTATTTCACTCACCGTCAATTCATTATTGGTGTTGAATTTTGGGTTTCACTTAGAACGTGGTAATCGTATCTAAGATCATTAACACACATTTTGAGTAACCATAAACCTCAGTGGTAAAGACCGAGAGTCTCAAGGGTTACATAAGTGAACCGAAGGTAGATGGAGAATATAATTAGATGGTTAAGGAACCGAATGTACCTTCTGCTAGATAAGCGTGACAGAGTAGAGAAACTCTTTACTCAAATGAGAAGAGTAAGGTAGCTCTAGACCGAGTGAGTTAAAATAGCCTGATTTGGAAGAAATGATGGGTATCAATCGAATCATTAAGGCTTACTTGAGATCATAGAGGCTTTATGACAACATACAGCAGCATGCTTCTAGGG